TTCCTTCAATCGTAAATATCTCAAATTCTACTCAGGGGGCTCTCGTTGCCTAGAGGTTAAGGTGTTGGCCTCTCATTCAAAGATCCCGGGTTCGAATACAGGTAGCGACCGAAAAATTTTGTTCTCTAAAATTGTCTCCTTTCACCTCCTTTCCAGCTCTCTAGCAATGTTTTGTTTCATTTCCACTTTCTGTCCCCACACCTTCACCTCCTTTGCCCCCTCCTCTGGGCTCCTGACTCTTTCTGCAGCATTTCTACTACTTCTCCTTGGCTCCTCCTAACTGCAGTCTTTCTGCCACACATCTGATCTTCTTGTAAGAAAGATCTACACCTAGCCTTCTCTGACAAGGGCGAAAAATCTCGGAGGGCCCGTGTGCAAGTTGCGCACGTTATAGATCCCTTGGTGGTCGAAAATCGATAAGAGTAGACTTCGGCCGCCACCCGGGCAAAATTCAAAATTTCCTACCAACTGAAAATATTAGGTGCGACCCGCGCGCTCATATGACCTTATGCAGTTGCGAGCACCGTAAAACACTTTACAAAACAAAAAAACAAAACATTCTACTCAAGGTGGATGGGTGTGGTTTTAAAAAATCAAAAACAAGACAAAGAAACATGGTGTAAGAAGATACCAATAACCAGGGGCGGTTCTTTCACTGGGCAAGACCGGTGGCGCCGGTCACTTTTTGTTGGCTGAGCAGTGATTGTGGGGCTCCAGTAACTAAGTGCGCAGGGAGTTTAGACTCAAGTAATGTCAAGCAAGTGTCTTTTTACACGGGGATCAGATGGGTGGTCACTGGGGTGTGTCTTTGAGTAAGACACGACAACCCTAGCTCAAAATACAGGGCGCTGCACAGTGGCGACCGACAGTGGCATGGTATTAAACTGTTCTGTAGCTGTGTAACATGGTGCATTTAGGTATGTATCTATTCATGTATTTATGTATGTACGTACTTAACATTAAGTATTAATGTATGCAAATTTATGTTTGCCATTGTAAACCAAAGTGCCCTTCCGGAACAAATAAAAATGTAATTTATTTATTTATTATTTATTGCTCACAACATTTACTTGGTTTCAAGTAAACACACATTATTATCTAATCAATGTTCAAAAAGCACTCTCCCGATTTGAAAGGGATATGAGAGACAATAGAGGTTCTTTGGTGTGTTGTCGCACTACAGAGACTCTTTCAGTCATCTTCTGTTGATGCTGGTGTTAAGGTTGCCAGGTATTCTGCTGATTATCATCGTCTCCGTTTAGCTTTTACTGATCTTCATGTTGAGCTTTTCACATTGAGCATATGAAACTCGAAACAATGCACAATCTTTAGTATCTTTGTCATAGTAGGAGTGGAAAACAAAAATATTTGACCGGCTAATCACTGTTGGCAAAGTCACGATTCCGTGCTGATCCATTTTTTCTTGACGTAATAAAGGGGGGAAAGCCCCCAGGAAAAACAACAACTAGACCTGGGAAGAGGGACAAAAAGCCCAGAAAAATTGCACGTGGTAAGATGTAAGGGGAATGAGGCTAGAGGAAAGGAGACCACACGAAGCATTTTTTAGCTTCCAACCAAGGACACATTAAGGTAACAACAATGTACAAATACGCCATTCCCTTTGTATTCTAGTTCTGCACTGTGATTTTTTTAGTTCGGCTTCTATGTTTTGTACTTTAGCCTAAGTTATTTGTTTCTTTGTTGTTGGTGGTGGTGGTGATGATAATGTTGATGATGATGATGATATTGATATTATCAAACAACACAAGTTAGAACATCACATGTACGCCAATGACACCCAGCTGTACATACCAATCAACCGGGGGGGAGAAGATCTACCGATTTCAACCCTCCAAAACTGTCTTCAAGATAACAAGGACTGGATGTTTGACAATAAACTTAAACTTAACAAAAACAAGAGAGAAATAATCTTAATAGGAACAAATCACTTAAGAGCAAATGTACAATTTGAGAGTTTGGATCTAGGCAATGCAACTGTTGTGGTGGAAAAATTAAGTGCCATACGAAATCTTGGCTTTTATTTTGACCCTGGTATTTTCTAAGAAAACACACGTCACTAGAATTTGTCAAGCCATGCACTTCCATAATAGAAACATTGGCAGAATATGGAAATTTATTAATGAAAATACCACAAAAATTCTTGTTCTTGCTTTATTTTCGGTCACCTTGATTATTGTAATTCTCTTCTTTTTTTTTTGGCATTCCAGATTCTACTCTGGCCATACTTCAAAAGATTCAAAACAGGGCAGCAAGACTTGTAACTTTGAGAAAATTTTCAGACCATGCCCATGATATTTTGAAAACTCTCCATTGGATGCCAGTGAGAGAGCGCATTGAATTTAAAATTAATTTTGGGCCTAGTTTATAGATCTTTACATCAGTGCTCACCAAATTACCTCTCAGAACTTATGGAAATGTACGCACCATCTCGTAAATTAAGATCTTCAAATGACCATCAGCTCTGCATGCCTAAGTCTAGAACAATATTTAGTGAGAAAGAGCCTTTTCCATCTGTGCCCCAAAACTTTGGAACAATTTGGATTCAGATGTTAAAATGTCTCTTTCAATTTTGATCAATTTAAATCAAAGTTGAAGACAATGTTTTTCAGGAAAGTTTATGTATAATGCTGGACCTTTATATCTGAAATACATGTCAGTTTGGTTATTTGGTTGGGGTTTTGTTGGGGGGGGGGGGTTGGGGGGTATGCATGTCGTAGTGGTACTGAGCTTTAGAGTGTGTGTGTGTGTGTGTGTGTGTGTGTGTGTGTGTGTGTGTTTGTGTGTGTGTGTGTGTGTTCGTGTGTGTGTGTGTTTCGTAAGCGCCACCGAGCACCTTTTGTGGATGCTGGCGCGTTAAAAAGTCATTTATTATTATTATCATTATAATCATTATTATTATTATTAATATTGTTATATTATTTTTATATATGTATATATTTATCATTATTATTATTATTATTATTATTTCTATTATCTTTGTTGATTACACCGGCTCGTATGTAAATCGCTCCTGTCACGATGTGAAACTGATCTACGCGAGGTGTTTCCAAACAACGCCCACCTCGCGGGGACGTCAGCCAAACTGGTGCATTCAGCTTTTGCCCAGAGGACTTAAAAGACGGCTTCTAATTGGTCGCTTTTAAGCATAAGTGGACTGTTTTGAGAAAATCAAAGGTTAATTGTTTGCCCCTTGTTCAGTTTCTTTAAAAGACAAGGAGAGTTTTCTCTATAACCAAACAAAAATACACATCAATGAAACCAAACTTCTGCTATAGGTATGGCAATGTCCATTTTTGGTGTAGGTCAAGATTTCTGGAATTAAACCCCCGAAATCTTTGTTAGCCCGCTTGTCCTTAAAAGCGACCAATTATTGCCAACTGGCCTCTCTGTTACTTATAAAGGAAGGACACGTCTGCAGAACAAATACAAATGTACATAATATTATTTTACATAATTTCATCCTTACGTATTGTTTTATCATTCAATTAGTCTCTTATTATTGCTTGTATATCTATTGTTGGCATACTTATTTCTATTGAATTTTAAAGCACCCCCACGACATAAATGATAATAGGCTTCGTACATTCATCCATACGAAACATATGTCAGTCCTCAGCACATTCTTTTATGAATCTGAAACATGGGCCTTGTACAGCAGACAAGAAAAGTACCTCGACATTTTCCATCTCAGATGCTGCCGCAAGACCTTAAGCATATCGTGGCGTGACAAGGTTACAAATGTTGAAGTGTTGGCACGGGCAAACCTCCAGAACATGACAAGTATCATGTGTTTAAGAAGATTGAGATGGCTGGGCCATGTCAAGAGAATGGACGACAACCGGATTCCGAAGCAACTTCTCTATGGAGAATTTGCCCAGGAAAGAGGCCAAGAGGAAGACCAAAATTGAGGTACAAAGACACCTGCAAAAAACAGCTTATCTAAGCGTGGAGTAGATGTTAGCATCTGGGAAGAAATAGTTGAGGACAGGAAAACATGGAGGAAAATGATAAAGGACAGAACTATAATGATAAATGGCAGTCTCTGAAACAACCAGGCTGAGAAGCGCCAACGACGAAAGAAAAACAGCAGAAGTACAGAGATTCAGACAAGGGCGAAAAATCTCGGAGGGCCTGTGTGCAAACCAAAATTTCCTACCAACTGAAAGAATTTAACGTGTCCCGCCCGCTCATATGACCTTATGCATTTGCGAGCGCCGTAAAACACTTACAAAAAAACCCTCACACACACACACACACACACACACACACACACACACACACACACACACACACACACACACACACACACACACACACACACACACACATCTACTTGTTTATCACACTCGCACTCTTACACATCGTCACGAAATTATCACTTACATAATTTTAAAAAATAAGATACACAATGCAATTCGCAAAATACATAAATGGATATCCAGTCATTTACATCACATTGTATTGAACATGAATTTACTAATATAAAAATGATGTCATAAGCTTATTTCCAATAAAATACGTCTCCCGCCCGGTTTCTATAATACGGATATTAGTTCCATTAAAAACGAATAGATAAATGTAAAATGGGGAGGTGGGGGGTGTGGTCACTTTTGACTAAAAATAGTCATTTAAACTAATCCCCAGAATGGCTGAGAGAGGATACAAAACACATAAACAGAAGGGGAAAAAAGAACATCGGGGAACTCGGTGGGGGGAAAATGTGCAGATGTTTGCTGATATGTTCTATAAAAAAAGATAGATAAGGTGTCATTGATAGAAATAGCAAGACTCTAAAAATCATGTTCTCAGCCTACACAATTCAGATTTTGTTTTCTTCAATTTTTGTTTTTTTCTTGGGGGGGGGGTGGGGGAGTCGTAGCGTGGGACTGTTGCTTTTTTGGGTTTGTTTGGTTTTTTTCTTTTATTTCACAATCAAAGTCACGACTATCGCTCCCTTTTTAGCATTTGAACTATAGACGCATTTTAGTTTATCTCTCTGGGGTTGTTTTTTTGGTTGTTTTTCAATTCTGTTTTCTTTCGTTTTTCTTTTGCCTTTTTTGTGTACATTATTATGCAATTTAAGCTCTTACTCCTGGCGTAATTTGATTCACTTCGGACTGTCTGCCAGCTTTCAAGCGTCTGTCAGAGATTCTTCACCCTTGTTCTGTTTCCTCGATCTTCCACTCCATTTTGAAAACTTTGAGCTCACAATGGGCAAAGTTATTTTCATTATCTTCGTCCAAGGTAATTCAAAATTGTATTTATCTACTTATTTATTTATGTATGTATTTGTTATTTGTTCATTGTTAATTGATTAATTAATTAGTTAATTAATTAATTAATTAATTAATTAATTAATTAATTAATTTTATATTTATTCATTCATTTAGTCATACATTTATTCATTTATGCAGTCATATATTTATTTAATTATTCATTTATTTATTTTTTTATTCCTTTATTTATTCATTCATTCATTTAATTATTTAATTATTTATTCATTCATTAAAGTGTTTATTTTTTCATTCATTCATTTATTTATTTACTTATTTATCGATTAATCAAAGGAGCTGACTGCTCAGAAACGACCTGACTAGACGGCTGGGCTACAGGCCTACCTATGTCGCAGATGTGTGCTTTTGACCATTGTTGTAGTCCTTGTTGGCGTGTTCTTTAGTAACTCTTCTGGTACATAAATTTGTTCTTGTATTGCTAAATATTTCTTTTCTAAAATTTTCGCCTTCAGTCTTTTTATTCAACCGTTCTCTTCAACTCTTTAAGGACGCGTCAGACACATTTGCCCGACCAAAAACAGATCAAAATCAAAGTCAGTGTTGTGACACATTTCAAGCCCACATAAAAAAACCAGAAACACAACATTGGACACTTCATATTGATATGAATGTTGTTGCCTGCATTATTAAGTTTCAGAAATAGAAAACAGAATTGGACAATAATCTATTTGTATAGATATAACAAAGTTAAGCTTTTTCGAGCATTTGAATGGGCGGGATTCGTGTCTTCAATGAGTTAAACGGCAAGTAAGACCTGACTAAATAAAAAATAACACACTTTAGTACAGGCATAAATTCTTGGCGCATCTTATCCTCAAATGTCATCCTTAATTAACGGGTGAACCAATGTCACCCATATTTTGAACAGCAGTATGCATCAATTTGTTTTAACTTAATCATATTTTTCCACAACAATTGAGGATAGATTATTTAAAACTTTTCTTTATGAATGTGAATAAAATATATTCTCACATACATTTGGTCACTTTTAAGGACGAGCGGGCTAACCAAGATTTCAGGGATTTTCAGAAATCTTGACCTATTCCAAAAGTGGACATTGCCCTACCTATAGGAGAAGTTTGGTTTCATTGGTGTGTATATTTGTTTGGTTATAGAGAAAACTCTCCTTGTCTGTTAAAAAGCTGAACAAGGAGCAAAAACTTCATCTTTGATTTTCTCAAAACAGTAGTTTTCGGGATAGCTCCTTTGTGCTTAAAAGCGATCATTTCACATAAGCATAGTATGGCCTACGGCACAGCTCACTAGTGACACTTTTTAGTGGCAAAACTTGTTACAGGAAATTAATTTTAAAGTGAACACTTTTTTTGCCCTTAAGGTGCTCAAAACATGCATTCAATAAGCATAATTAGAAATAAATGACCAACTTGCATTTAAAAGCGATGTTGTTACTGTCTGTTTGATTCGTATTTATTAAAGAATTTTCTAGAATACAGCTAATAGGTGTTTACCAAAATATATTGATTTGTTAAAACAAATTGATACAAGTCATTGTGCAAAAACTGGAGAGTTTATGTTTAGATAGCTGAGAAAACACTTAACAATACGTCGCAGCACCAATTATATGACCGCATTGTAGGTGGTAAGTTAAGAGGTGGCAGAGAGTCCCCACGCCGTATGGATACGATAGTAAAGCACGGCGTACGGATAGGGTTAAGTGGTGGCACAGAGTTCCCCACATCGTATGGATACGATAGTAAAGCACGACGTACGGATAGGGTTAAGTGGTGGCACAGAGTTCCCCACGTCGTATGGATACGAATACGATAGTAAAGCACGACGTACGGATAGGATTAAGCCTTTGTGTGTCAGGCCACAGTAAATTAGATCTATGCCGTTTTTCACAAATTATTATTTTTATCAATAAGTCACAAAGTTTTTATTCCCTGCTTAGAAAAAAAAAACGCACTTCAAGAAAGTGTGCACTTTTGCCTTTTTTTCTGCTTTTTTTTTACGTTCCGATGACATAAGTAGAAGATTTTTATCTTTTATCTTGCGTGTTCTTTTTAGTGAGGCTACAATATTGGGGAATTTGCCACTGTCACGATTGACGAAACTAGGTCGCCAGAAAACAGAACATTATGTCCTCCTTGGTCCTCGTATAAGGCTATAAATAGTCTAGAGGTCAATGAATGCAAGACGGGGATAAGAAATGAATATATTATATTTGTTTAATTTTTTAAGAATTTTTTTATAGATTTAGTCAAATTGTTAATATGCTCTCAAACCAGGTGATTCACGTGGATTTTTTTTTTTTATTTGAACTTATGACTGGAATTTTTTTTACGAGGAGTGTTGTTGTTTTTTTTTTCTTGTTTTTTTTACTTGTTTTGTTTTTATTTCTTTTGCTCTGACAGGGCATGGGGGAAGGGGGGGTGGGGCTCTCGTGGTCTAGAGGCACCGTGTTCACCTCTCATTCAATAGGTCTTGAAGTGGAAACCTGACAGAGACGGACATATTTCTCCTTTCACCTTTCCTGCTCTCTAATCATGTTCTGTCGTCTGCTTTCGTCTCCATGTATTACTTCTTCTTTTTTTCTTCTTCTTCTCCTTCTTCTTCTTCTTCTTCTTACTATTATTATTATTATTATTATTATTATTATTATTATTATTATTATTATTATTATTATTATTATTATTATTATTATTATTATTATTATTATCAACAAATTTAACATCTAACATCTAACAAGCCTATTTGTTTAATTTCATTTCACATCTCTTATCAATTTACCATTTTCACGTAAGTTTCCCTTAGGCTTCTGCTATCATTTGGTGAAACATTTCGCGGATATACGTGAGATTCTATTGTGGGAAATTAAACACCCTGTGAAGATTTGGAAGTGTGGTTGGAATTTAATGGCTTTGTCATTGTGTTATGTGTATGTATAGTGCATATTTTATCTCTCTTACTCATTCTCTCCATATTGGTAGAGATCTCTCTTTTCATATTACACGCACACGCACACACAAACGCACACATACACACACACACACATATACATACACTTTTACTCTATGTCTCTTTCTCTTTCTCTCTCTCTCCCTCTCTCTCCGTGTCTTTCTCTCTCTCTCTCTCTCTCTCTCTCTCTCTCTCTCTCTCTCTCTCTCTCTCACTTTCTCTCTCTGTCTGTCTGTTTGTCTGTCTGTCTGTCTGTCTGTCTGTCTTTCTCTCTCTCTCTCTCTCTCTCTCTCTCTCTCTCTATCTCTATCTATCTATCTATCTATCTATCTATCTATCTATCTATCTATATGTACAACTTCGATCAACCACGGAGCTCGAATTCGATTTGAGTTCAAATGTTTACTATTGAAGGCCTCCATATAGGACACAATGCGAACTAAATTTTGTCAAATCACATACACAACTTCTAAACATAAAAAAGACAAAAAACAAAAGCAAAATGACCCCCCCCCCCCCCCCCCGAACCCAATACACACAAGAAAGAAAGAAAGAAAAAAAGAAAGACATGAAAAAATGAACTAACAAATGAACAAATGAGCTAAAGGGCGAATAAACGAATGAATGAATGAACAAATTAACTAATGGGCGAAAAACGAATAAATAAATAAATAAATAATTGAATAAATGTATAAATGAACGAATTAATTAATTAATAAAACCTGTCAGGGATAAGATATAATAATTTTCTCGTGAAAAGAACTTTAGATAATCACCCTAACCATTCGGACAACAAAAAAGACCTTTTCAACGTTTTTATGTTCCTGAACAAAAAAGATGTGGGTAGTTGACGTGTGCTCTGGAATCATTGAAATTTGCTCCTTCTTCTCTACTATTAAACATGTCGTCATTATCTCCTCTCCTTTTTTCTTTTTCTTTGTCCACTACTCTCTCGTTCTCGTCGCCGTCTTTATCTTCGACACTTATATTATTATCAATATGACCTATTTCATTTGCAAGTGACGTATAACCTTTACTCGAATTAAAAACTAAACTTACATGAAAAGATCCACTTCGCTCGTGATTACTGCGTCATTAAGGTGTGCCTCTCAAACTACACTATTATAGTACTGCTTATCAGTGACCTTCTCAATTAGCTGTAACTATAAAAGAAAATTGCAACATTTAATATTAGTCGGTCACGGATTGATGTTCGAGAAAGTGTTTTCCCATTTTTGGACCCACAATTTGACCCTTTTATTTTTATTTAACCAAAATTATATTTAAGTGCTATTTTTATTATGCTAGCAAAAGTAATAGTGAATTTATATGCACTATTAAAACACTTGAGATTCTCTAATACTCATTAGGAACGAAAGATTAATGAACGTATAGCTGCTGTTCAGTTTGTTGGTATATTTATAATTATCTGCTTTCTGGGTTTTCCATGTTCTATCTCAGAGGGATTTTTAGTCGATCAAAGGCACTTTTGTTATTACCTTAATTAACAATTATTATTATTTCACTGGTCTACAGCCCTGGTCCTTCAAACTGCCGCCTCAGCTTCATCTTCGTCGATATCAGGATCTACCCACGCCACCACCCCAAAGCCATATAGAACCGTCTGCTACCCTCCGCTTGGCTGTTTCAGCAACCGGCCTCCTTTTCACAACGCCGGCGGGTCAGTGCCCGCATCCCCCGAGAGTCTAAACGTTGGCTTGAGACTGTACACCAGAGCGAATAGAGCTAGCTATGAGAGTCTGGAC